AATTTGATGTCCGTGTGATGTAATGTCATATGATGTCTTGTCATTTGAATATATCATATTATGTGGTACCATATCATGTGATGTCATGGCCTATGAAGTCACCTTTAACTTTATTCTAGTATTAGTCTTTATCTAAATCTTATTTTTAAACCACTTGTTATCACGTATTTGTTAAATTTATGCCTATCTGCATACGTTAAAGAAGCACTTGTTTCCCTCCTAAAAATTTCCGTTTGCATTTATTAATTTACTCCCAACCACACCGCTCAATAAGTTTGACTCCAAAAAATTGTTGCTAATTTAGATGTTGCTTGACCAGATATCAAATTCGGACCTGGTGCGGAGTGCTAGGATTTACTCACTTCTAACCACTCAGTCGCAGCACCGGTCAACCATATGTGTATGTACATAAAAATCTACGTATACACAGTGGCGGATTTATCGTACAGGCAACATGGGCTGAAGCCTAGGGCGGCAGAATTAAGGGGCGGCAAAATTTAAGACAGCTAAATTAAAAGAAAAAAATTTATTTGGATTCAGCTGCACTTGAAATTGTGTTTGTGTCTGTAAAATATTATTAATGATTCATCTCATTCAATACAATTCAAAATTAGAATTACGCTGCGAATTTTTCCTTAGTATAGCAGTCGTTGAAATTTCCATTTAACTTTCATTCACGCGGCTTAGAAACCTGACGGCGCGCCTGCGCGTGACGCNAGTGAAAAACTATCTCACATCTTCATTGAGCGAAAACAAACTGAATGCTCTTGCGTTGCTGACTATAGAGTCAGATTTGTTTCTATCTATCGATTGTGAAGATATTATCCGCGAATTCGCAGCTGAAAAATCAAGACGTAAAGAACTGTGAAAAAGAAGTGTTTGAAAGAGGGTTTTTGTTGAATACCTTATCCATGCTGATGTCGAATTTGTTAATTCCGTTATGTATTTCATTATTAACGAACTATATTGTAATAAAGCACTGACAATAACAATCATATTTGATATATATATATATTTTTTTTTTTCGTGAAAAAAGGGCGGCAAGTTATGAATTGCCTAGGGGCGGCAAATATTTAAATCCGCCACTGCGTATACATGTACGTATGTGTATGTATGTAGGTTGTTCAACTTAGGTAAACACAAAATCTTTTATTTGCCGCCGCCCCCGCAATTAACTTTATTGTTAATACAATTGTGATTTCTTATCTTCGTGTTTTCGGGACATTAATAAGATTATCAAATTCAATTTCCACTAATTATGTAGCTACATTAAACAGGCCAAATTATTTGTTTGCTTATACGCAGGCCTTCTAGTTAATTTGTAGATATCATTCGTGCAAGTCGTTCACCGTAGTGTAGTGAATATGAAAAGACATAATAATCGCGACTTTTATAGAAAACAAGCAAAACTAAATGTTTCGCCAGCGGAAATCGTAAATCCTATACTCTCGTATCTCAAGTGGATTTTATTAATACTAAAATCAGTTGGTCTTATGCCATTTTATACTACGCTAAATTTTTATAAGATCGGCGTGCCGAATCGACGTTGGTTGCTGATTAGTAGAGGCATAATTTGTATCAAGTTTTCTGTAACACTAATACATCTTTATTTTACACTTACGCCCGCTATATCGCAAATATTTTTCCGACAAGGCTACACGGATGGCTTATCCAACATTTTCAACATAACCTTTTGTATACTCACCGATGTAACAATTACATGGACGTGTGCCGGTAATAAAAACAAATTTATTGCCATAATCAATCGCTTGTTGAAAATTGATGAAAAGCTCATGCAGCTTACTGAGATACCAGCTTATAAAAATGGCCACAAAAATCAGCATAACGCCTATCTTCTATTGATATTTTGTTTTCTTACCTTAATAGCTGTGCTATTCTTCAAAAGATTGGTGCAGTATTATATAACGTTTGTCTTCTTTATGTGCGTGCTGTTTTATCTGTTGGAGAATGCAGTTGCCTATACATTTGTAGTCCTCATTTTGGCGTTAATGCATTTACTGGCCATGCGTTTGCGTTCTATCAATCAATACTTAAGCAAATACCAAAGAAAAATGTTACAGGGAGAAAAATTATCGGGAGATGAATTTGCACAAAATGAAATTAACTTGCTGCTATTTGCGGAAAAATCGAACATAATTTATGGGTTGCACAATGATTTGTTGGATTTATTCAAAATGATAAATCGTTTTGCTGATATCGGTCTTCTGTCGGTTCTAATTTATATATGCTATGGTTTGGTTTCATCTATTTACACATGCCTCCTGTTTAAGTTGGCAGACGGCGATGACATATTCATCCTTTTATGGTCATTTTTGTGGACACTACTATCTATGGGGCTATCGATGTTATTGGCGGCGAGTTGTGAGGACGTTAACAGAGAGGTTCGAGTATATGAATGTACATACATACATATAAATAAGTACTTTGTACAAGCAAATGTTTTGGTATACGACATGAATACACCCCCGTTAGCAGCAGTGAGACAACAACAACAAATTTAAAAAAAAAAAACTCATCAAAATTTTCAACTTTTTACTCGTAAAAAATTTTGTAGGCTGTGTGCGAGTTGACCTAAATTTTAGTACCTAAATTAATATTCCATTGGAAATTCCCAGCACTGCTACAATTTAGGAAAATAACTGCTAAAACTGTGCGAATTCATTTGGCAACCTAAATTGTTTGGGTATAAGTGAAAAATAGGGCCCGTTCAGCTGGAAAAAAAAGAAAGAAAAAGTGGACATGCTTCGCCTTCTTCCATTGAAAATAACGGTACAAAAGGTTTTTTTTTTGTTGCTGTTGATGTGCGCATGTTTATGTATATGCCAATTTCGTATAAAAATATGGTTTATTCAACAACAAAAAACACGAAAATATAATTCCTAAGCTTTGTGCGATACTCGCGAAAATTCAGCAAATTTTCATCAAAATTTTTAACTTTTTAATCAGATTTTTGAGAATTTTTTTGAGTATGCAGTTTTGCAGCCCATTAGTTCTAGTAAAAAAATGCAAGTTAGGAGTTAGTCAAAAATCGCGTTGATTTTTGATATTTTTTTTTGTTGAAGGTGTTTTGCATTTTTTCCATATAAAGTATTTTCGAAAANAGCAGCTTTGCAGCCCATTAGTTCTAGTAAAAAAATGCAAGTTAGGAGTTAGTCAAAAATCGCGTTGATTTTTGATATTTTTTTTTGTTGAAGGTGTTTTGCATTTTTTCCATATAAAGTATTTTCGAAAAAAAAATCTTGTATCTAAGAGACTGCGTGGTAAAAAAATACCAAAAATCAACAATAATTCCTAGCTACCTAAATCTTGCACATTATTATAAAAAAATTTATTGGGTTACAAATCTGCATACTCAAAAAAATTCTAAAAAATTTACTTAAAAAATTTAAAATTTTCATGAAAATTTGCTGAATTCTTGCGAGTTTTGCACAAAGTTTAGGAATTATATTTTTATGTTTTTTGTTGTAGAATGAAACATATTTTTATACGAAATCAGTGCAAAAATATTAGAATGAAAATTGTTGCATATATGAAAAAATTAAAAATTTGCTGTGCCAATACCTTGTTCGGGCAGTGTACATAAGTTAAAAAAGTAATTTTTAATTTTTTTAATTTTAATCTAATTAATTAAAATTAATTCTAATTTCATTGCCCAGCTCAAATTTAGATANGAAAAAATTAAAAATTTGCTGTGCCAATACCTTGTTCGGGCAGTGTACATAAGTTAAAAAAGTAATTTTTAATTTTTTTAATTTTAATTTAATTAATTAAAATTAATTCTAATTTCATTGCCCAGCTCAAATTTAGATAAAGGCTTTGATTCGAAAATGCACAAATGCGCTCGAGTAAATCCCCGACTCCCCTCTTGGGCTCCCTTTCTAGTAGAAAAGATAAAAATTACTTATAACTTCTAAAAAAATAATTAATCGCGCCCCCCCTTTTATAGTTCACATTTCAAAAGTATGCTCGGAAAAAACCTAAATTGTTCCTATTCACTGCATTANAAAGGCTTTGATTCGAAAATGCACAAATGCGCTCGAGTAAATCCCCGACTCCCTTCTTGGGCTCCCTTTCTAGTAGAAAAGATAAAAATTACTTATAACTTCTAAAAAAATAATTAATCGAGCCCCCCCTTTTATAGTTCACATTTCAAAAGTATGCTCGGAAAAAACCTAAATTGTTCCTATTCACTGCATTACAGACACTTTCCAGGGATTTAGGATTTTTCTCTATTTAGGTACACGTATGTTAGTGTGTTTNCGCCCCCCCTTTTATAGTTCACAGTTCAAAAGTATGCTCGGAAAAAACCTAAATTGTTCCTATTCACTGCATTACAGACACTTTCCAGGGATTTAGGATTTTTCTCTATTTAGGTACACGTATGTTAGTGTGTTTGGCCGAGCTTCTCCTCCGCCGACTCCGAACGGCGATTGTATTTTTATGAGAAGCTGTTTTTCATGGCAGAAATACACTCGGAGGTTTGCCATTGACTGCCGAGGGGCGGCCGCTGTTGGAAAAAAACCTTTTTTTTATAATTTTTTTTTTGCAGGCTTTGCGGAGTGTAAGCGCGCACTGATTACCACTACACCACAGCGGCCGCAAAAAACTCTTTATTATATAAAATTAATTAAAAAAATTGTTTGTCAGCGCAAAAAAGACTATGTACGAATATTACAAAATAACTCCACCTTATTTTCGGGGGTTGCCAAGTGCATTCCATGTATTTCAAATTTTCTCCAAATAAGTAGCAGAAAAAATCAATGTGATAAAAATTCTTTAAAATATCTGTTGTTGAATTACTCAGTTACTCACACAATTTTCACATTGTTTTAACACCTTGATTTTTAATCAAAATTCCTTCGTTACTTTACAGGCCAACAAGACTTCACAAGTGCTGGCGCGTATCTACGGTAAAGGAGATAATTTTCAAGAAATCGTAAGTCGCTGCTTCCATGAAAATTCTTACACTTGAATATATTAAATATACGTAGGTTGACAAATTTCTGACAAAGAGCATCAAACAGAATGTGCAATTTACCGTTTATGGATTTTTTGTCATTAATAATTCAACACTGTTCAAGGTAAATAAACTCTTTAATATAAAACATGTCGTCGCTGGAATAATAAAATAGTGTAACATGAAAAGTATAGTTTTGAGAAAAACGAATTGAAAGTTTTTATAAACCATTACAAACCATACAAATACAATTTCGTTTTTCGGGAATAAATTAGTGAGCCAAAGAGATATTTAAGAAATTTAAGAAATTGAAGATTTTTCTAATAGATTAAAGGTTTGTCTATCCAATGGTGCAGTTATCGAATAATAGTGTATGTGGCATTTACACTGTTTCTTTATTCGAGCGACGATATTTATTTATAATTTCAAGTCCGGAGCTTTAGCCAGCCCAAATGTTTCCACCTAGTCCCCGCTAAGGCTAGGGAAGTCTTGGAGGAAGTGCTAAGCGGAGCCGTAGCCTGTCAGAATATCCCCCAATAGCGAGGGCTGAGGATTTGCAAGCGAAAGTAGCACCTGTGGCTACTCCCCCGCAGAATTATCTTGCTTATGCGCATGATAACGTTTCAAGGTTGCGTTTACCTACCCAAATGAGCCTGATAAGAAAATAATTCGACGCGGTTCATAGGGAGGGCAGTAATTCCCTGGCCAATTTCGAGCGTACCACCGCAGAATTCAGGGCTCTGATAGTCGCCTAGCTATCATAGTATCTACCTGCTAACCCCCTCACTGATGGCGTTCTCTTCAGTGTACTTTTTTCATCTGAGAGTTACTGCGGAAGTCCGGAAGCCTAAACATAAGATCCTGTCACCAATCCTGCCTCCACTTTTTATAAAATATACGTTTTATTATAATAAATCTGTGAAGAAGTCCGCTGCTCCCTTCCTTTCATCACCCCGCACCGGCAAGTCCTTTTTTAGAGGAATGAAGGCAGAGAAGGAGTTACCATTTCGAAGACACAGTAATCGGTATGATCAGGGATCAAATGAAATAATGAGTTACTATTTCAAAGACACAGTAATCGGTATGGTCAGGGATCAAATGAAGGACCCAAAATATCGGAGTGTCCAGTTTTCAACCACCCGGTTTTAGTGAGATTAACGACAGTTCCAGCTGTAAAACTTCTGCTTACAATATGTATCTACAGGCGTTAGATTCAGCATGGCGCCTAAGTGCCTGTATACGTGTGACTCTTAGTGCCCAACTCCGCTGTACGCCATCTAGTCACTTAGCAAAAGTAGTCGGCCCTAGTGAATTCCACTATACAAGCGCTATAAAACAATAGAACCAATAAACGACTTCTCGGCGGAAGACGTAATATCTTATCAATAGCCCCTACATCACTGCAGTAAAAGGCAACCGAAGTCTTTTTGGTCCTTTCATAAATGTTTGGCCTTCACGTTCGAGGGAAGGGCCACATGGTGGATCTTATATTTCTTAGTAAACATGACCAGATCCGTCTTGCTGTGGCTGACGGCTAGCTCGCAGCTAACCGTTCACCTATTAAGACAGTTCAGCAAACCCTGAGCCCGCTCAAGAAGGATATTCAGAAATCTTCCCCATAACCCATCTGCATAAGAAATGTAGCTAGTAGAGCCCCCACCATTTCCTTATTGGGAAATAGTTCATCATGCACAGTTACCTGTGATCTCGTTGTGTCCTGGAACACATATAGTAATATGCTGCTATCGAGGAAGGAAACAGACATTCCCTGCAAATTTTCTAACCTATAATAAAAGAGATACGCATCCAGCATCCAGTCCGCTGTCCGCTTTTATTGCGGCTACCCCGATGGACAGCTCTTCGCCACCTCAGGCCCTATTTCCGTCTTAGTTCGATCCATTGGAGAATTGTTCATATCGCCATAGTTCAATCCTTCCCGGATGAGTTATAGTTCACGAGGTAGGTATCTACTCTGATCCAGTCTTGGTGACCGATTCGGGCCGATATTAACTCTAAGCTAATTGCAACTTAAAGCTCACGAACCCCTTTGTTTAGCTGTTGTAGGCGCAACAGCCACTGTTGCTGCTATATCTGCTTCTTCTACTTCTTCCCGTGGTTCTAAAAGCGTTCGTCGGGGTTTGGACCGAAACCAAAAACATCCGCCTTTGCGATGTCCTCTTGTATTTAGAAACTTCATTCAAGAAATTGATGTTGCATGATTGTGTCTTAAAAGAGCGCTTAAGGGTTAGCATCTAACCTGACTGAATGACAAATAAAAAGCACATTTAAAATATAGTTTTTCTCACATATGTTTTCATACATTTCAGATTTTCTCAGCCGTTGTTACATACCTAGTCATTTTAATTCAATTCAAACAATTGGAGGAGTCTCGTACTTTACAGTGAGACTAGACTGGGGAAACTACATATAACATTTATTGATTACATTTTTTCAAAAAGAAATTGTGCATAATAAAAATTTGAAAGATTTATTATTAAAAATGTTGTGATGTTGGGTGTACAATTTTAGATATTATGTTTGAAAATAAACTATTTTACTGCTGTAAACTTATATTTAGAATTATTATTTTAACTACAAATAAAAACTATTTTATACACATATTATTTTATTTTTCGAAAAAAGACGAGGTTCTGGTCGAAAATGGTGGCACACTTAACTTAGTGGGTGAGTGTTTTGTTTCAAAAAAACAAATTTCACCACCTCTTCACCAGTCATGTGAAATTTATATCTAAATTATATGTAATAATTGCATTTGCACAATTTTAGTTTTAAGAAATATTAAAATTATTAAAAAATAATGAAATGCGCGCAATTACTATATATGTAAATAAATTTACAAAACTCTCCTGTGAAAGCTTGCCGTCGCTTTGCTCGCCGCTACACTATGCGTTTAACCTTAGTCGGGCATATTGAAATAACGATAAATTCGGCCTCCTGTATCTGATATGAATATCTAAAACCTCTCCCGCCGAAATTGGTTTCACAGAGATCGCTGCTGCAGACTAGCTGAATCAGCTAGGGTACCCCTTCTAAATATTATTCCCTGGTTATTTTCAGTCGGCACGAATCAAGGCAAAGCTCTACGGAATAGGTCTTTAGTACTATTTGGCTATAGGCACTTACCATTCCAAACTACTATTTTCTTACTTTCCGCCCTTAAATAAAATGAGACAACTCTCTTTTATTTTTGTGTAATTTTTTGCATTGATTTTTTATATATATATTTTTTTTTGTATGCTTTTCAATGTTTGTAATTGTATTCGTTTAAAAATTTCACTTTCTTGTTCTTATTTCAAACAACTTAATAATCTCATTAATGCATAATTTAATTATAGTTAAGTTTCTTTTTGTTGTTGTTGTTGTTGTTAATTCGTATTCAGTAAGTGTAAAGATATATATAGAACTAATTTGTTTTCCATACATATAATAAAAACTAGCATCTTAAAATATAATTTACAAATAGTGAAACAAATGAACAAACAAAATATAAAAAAAAAAAAATTAAATTAAAACATATTTGTTTATACATTTTTTTCTTAGACGCTTTCGCTTCTACATCCAACGCTTAACGCATTCACATTTTTTGTCATACTTAATTTTAGATATTTTAAATTCTTATTTTATGTTTAATTTTTAATGTTTTTATGTGTGTAATAGTATTTGTAATATCTCGTTACGTTTTTAATTATTTATGCAAATATTTGCACGACTGCTTTGGTTACAACTCTGCAAATGTTTTCTTTTCGATTTCAATTCATTTTTTTAGTTTTTTATTTGAATGTGTTTTAGTATTAGGGTTGTTATGTNCTATTTATGCAAATATTTGCACGACTGCTTTGGTTACAACTCTGCAAATGTTCTCTTTTCGATTTCAATTTATTTTTTTAGTTTTTTATTTGAATGTGTTTTAGTATTAGGGTTGTTATGTTTATGTTTTAACTTTACCTTTAGGTCCACTGTCAGTTTCTTTTGTGGTTCGTGCATTAACTGCTCTACTCAATTAGCTGCTCTGGCTCTGCACTACGTTTATTTTTAAACTATTTTTTGTACTCAAAAAGGAAATAAANTGTTCGTGCATTAACTGTTCTACTCAATTAGCTGCTCTGGCTCTGCACTACGTTTATTTTTAAACTATTTTTTGTACTCAAAAAGGAAATAAAAAATAAATTTACAAACAAAAATTAATTACTACAAAATATATACCTAAATATAAACTTAAATTTATTACGAACATTTGCGTGGAAAACTGAATCAAAATTTGTAAAAAAATTAATTATTTATAAGTGTTTGTTTTACTACGCTTAACTGTGTCATCTAGTACATATGTATATAAAAAAAAAAACTCGAATTGATATTTGTTCATTGTTCTTTTAGTAATTTTTGATTTTTTTTTTTAAATAACTGAACTAACGCTTTTTTGCTTTTTTTTCTATACTATTTTTGTGTATATTCTTATGTTCTAACTGACTCTTAGCTGGATAATTGGTTTTTAAAAGCCGTCTATTGTTTTTGTTTATAATAGTGTTTGTATGTATTTTTTTTTAATTTAACTTATTTAGAATTTCAAAAGTTACATACCAAAAGTTCTTTATACATTTTAAGTATGATTCCTTGATGAAGAATTTGAAAAAGAGATTCCATTATGCAAACATTTAAGTATATATGTACATATGTGTGCCAAAGAAACAAAACATGTAAGACGTTTTTTTNATGACTGCCGCAGGCTAAGCGTTGATCTTCAGTAATGGCTAGTGAGAGCTTTAACTCTCCGCAGGTCCATATCTTACTCTAAAGAAAGCTTTAAAAAGCCTCAGCCGCTGGATGATTTAGACCATTGCTTAAGCTTTCCCGTGGGCAAAGCTCTTTTACGATTTCTATACTAAATGTATGCAAAGCTTGAAAGGGACAGGTATAAAACATAACTGCTTTTAAAATGTTCGACAGCGTGTGACACAGTGCAAAAGCTCTCTTTAGTTGTCACTTCCTGGAACACACAGAGTATGTGAATGTCGGAGCGAGCTTTACTTACCAATAAAGCGGCTATTGGACTTTTCTACTGGCATCGGTCGAATTTTTTCTGCTTATTAGATGGAATAGTAGCGAAAGCTCAGCCTTCTCAGTTATCTAATTACTCTGAAAGCTTTTGGCTCGAAGTTTTTCTCGTACGACAATAAATATTTCTAGTTTAGCAGTGAAGGAGCCAAAATTTATTTGTGAGAAAAGGGAGAGCAGTGAAGCATATTTTTGTGCCATATGATATCTGTAGAATATCTTAAAAAGCTTTACAACCACGTACCGAAATAGAGAAGCAGAAGGCTAACTGCAAGAAATTATCTCCGCTCATTTTGATATTTGAGTGGTTAGAACAGAAAAATAAAACTAAGCAGTCACTGCGTTGCGCGGCTCGTTACACTCTACGTACGTCAGTGGTAGTCAAAAGCTATGCTCGCAAACGAGCTTTTGATTTATTTTGAGCTTTTTCTTCCATGCTCTGATTTTTCTGCACTTTCACGTTTTTGTTTGTTTGTTTATAATCAATGATTTTAATATTGAAAGTGAATGCTGGCTGTTCATATGTATGGTGAGTGCGTATTTTTATTAGTGTGTTCGTTCGTTTTTATTTTCATAATTTTTTTTTTATTAAACGTCTGTGTTTTAAATTATATATAGATACATAATCATTATTATTTTTTATGGTCTGTCAATATTATTTCTATTTATTATTATTTAAACTACTTTATCTATATATTAATTTTGGAAAATAATTACGATTACAATAACAATTCGATCGCTACTATAATTGTTCGTTTTCCATTCAATTCTTTGCTACTACGGCATTTGCCTTGCCGCTGATTCTCTGCAGCAGTACGCTCACTACGTTTTCGTCGTCGCATTTTTAGCTGCTTGACGTGCAACATATACTATACGTCCGCGCAGCGTTTGTGATTTAGTTTAGTTTTCTGTTTTGAATTTTTTTTATTGAATTCAGTTTTTTTTGTGGCCTTTTAATATCGAATTTTGCAATTAATTGTTTTTTTATTTTACTTTTTTGCAACGGTTTTTATTTATTTTTTTTTTTGAATTTTATGTTAAGTTTTCTGCTTTAACGACGCAGCATTTGTGTTCACTAATATGCCTTTAATTAGTTCTATTGTTGTAATAAGTGTGTTTTGTTTTTTTGTGATAATATTTTCAAACATCCTGTTATTTGGTATTTGGTCACTATAAACACGTTTTGTAAAATTAGATACTCTTTCGACATGACATTTAGTTTGTTTTTAGTTAAACTAAGACTATAACTATTTTTTTACTTATGAAGTAAGCAGTTTAAAAAAGGAAGTTAACCAAAACGAGCTGTTTCCTAGCCTTCAATGAAAAAGTGCTTAAAAAAAGGCAATTAAAGAAATGAAAAGAAAAAGCAAATTTGTATGGGTTCAAAAATATCTAAAGGAAACTAGCAAGCGTCTTACGTAAGTGTAAAAAAATTTTAAATAAATCGACAAACTTTCATTTCATCCAATTAGAGCTAAGCGCATGTTTTAAATTTTATGCTTTTTCATAAATTTTTCCTTTCGAAAAAATATGTATACTAAATTGCATATTAGCTAAAATCTAATGCAGGCGCTTAAATTTCTACACTAGTGCTGTGGGCTCCAAAACTATATACGTAAGCGCTTGTAAAAAAAATAATTTTATTAAATTCAATTAATACAAAAAAAAATATCTCTAAATCGGAGATGGGCATCAGCTTGCCCGCGGGAAAAGCTCTTGTAAGCTTTCTATACTAAATTTATACAGAGCTTTGCCCGTGGGCAAGCTGATGCCCACCGCGCCCTAAATGAATTAAAATGAAATAAGAAGTAAGCGACTTTCTGAAACTCGAAAAACTGAAAAACTTTAAATTTGAAAAATATTTTAAGATTTTCAAAGTTTTTGAAGCTTTTTTCAGCTTTAAGTAATAACTCTATCGCTTTATGTGTTGCTTGAGATCTCCCCGATTACTTTGCATGTTTTTTTTCTATCAGGTGAGTTAAGAAAGTAGCCGCTTGATCGGTTTTAGACCAGTGTTGGTTAGCGAAGTCGAAAGCTTCTACTTTATGCCAGAGATATTTGAAAAGCTTTTTACATCGAGCTTTTAAAAGCTCTATGTGTGCTAAGCTCTTACCCTACGAAAGCTCTCACCCCGATTTATGTTCACGCACCCAGACTTAAAGCTAACTGAGCATCACTGGTTTAGAGGAATTCTGGCTAGAGGGAGAGCTTTTTTGTGTGCCATCTGGATGTACATATATACATTGTGCAGAGTTTTTTAAAGGTTTAGAGATCGTCCCTTTTAAAGGAGAGATGAGCATCGCCTTGGCTGCGGGCAAAGCTCTTTTAAGCTTTCTATGTATTTTGTATAGAGGCGTGCAGAGTAAAAGCTCTTTCTGCCCGTCGCTGCTTAAAGCCGTGATGGGCATTACCTCGTCCGCGGGCAGAGCTCTTTTAAGCTTTCTATACATTTTGTATATGCACGTGCAGAATTAAAGCTCTCTCTGCACATCGCGAGTGGATAATACTGTTTTGGACCAGCCTTGGCTAAAAGTAGCTTATATTTTGTGCTAGCTGTACATTAAATGCGGTTTAATACATCACCTTTCCCGCTTTTAGAGCTTTTTAAACATTTTGATTAGATATACGCAAAGTAAACGTTTCATTTATTCATTACTGATTAAGCCACTGGCGACCAGAGAAATCTCTTACTATGCGCGTAAGCGTAGAAAATCTAACTAAAGCTTTAAAGGGTTTCTACAGCGGTAAATGTTTTTAACGAGGCTGGACAAAATGCAAGGAAAGTTTTAAAAATCTTCCTTTAAACAAATAAAAATGTCTCAACGGGGTGTGACAGTAAGTGTACTGTAAAGTTTTCAATACTTTTGTTCACTACCGCAGCTGAAGTGGTTGTGTTAACCCGTTGATAGGCATCACCATTTACATATCGACACCTACAAACCATACCATGTTAAGTCATTAGACATTTAGGCGGACATATGTATGCAGAGCTTTTTTAAGCTTGCCAAGTTCTCTCACTCTCCTGAAATCTTCCGCAAACCAATTCACTCTTGACCAATATGACCAGCCGGAGAAGCTTTTTTAAGCTTTATTTTCATATGAACTCGCGTAGAATGAAAGCTCTTTCTGGTCGTCGCTACAGTTGACTCCCTTTACTAACTGGGTCAATTGCGCTGTGGTAAGATTTTTTATGCGCTGCAGCTGACATATCCTAGCCTTATTAAAGTAAAACCCAAAAAAAAAACATAATATTAGCAAAATTATTTTATGAAAAAAAGTGTGTAAAATAGTGCTTCAATTCAACTTCTTTTCTCCTTTTCATAAATACATTATTCATTTCTTCTCAGTTACAACTTACATACATTACAATATCATTGCTCATTTATTTTCATTTTAGCATTTTTTTTGTTCCATTAATGCTTTAACTTTACACATCATCTTCACTACATGCATACCTACTACAATACTTACTTAGTACACAATACATACTTATACAAGGGCGGCATGCGTGATGCGGCAACGCTGCAGCAGCGTAACACATACGCACACATTTTTGCTTGCAGATAATCGTACTTCGCTTAAATAAAATATCTTTGTTCGGGGTAAACTCAAAAACTACTAGGCCGATTTTAATGACTTTAATCTCAAAGTGTCAAATTTGAGCTGCAGAAGGTTATAGAAGAAATATTTTTATTTGCATTTATTCTTTGTTTGCAGTAAACACAAAAACTACAAGGCCAATTTTAAAGTTTTTTATTTGGAATTGTCAAATTTAAGGCCAGAGTACATATTTTTGCATATAAATATGTGTGCGATGTGTGTATCACGCTTGCCGCTTACTGCTTTATCACGCTCTGTGTCCGNAATGTTTTAATAATTCTACAATGTATGACGTAATAAAGAAAAAGTGGAAAAAAATAATTTGTGGTACCTGTCAATAGACTATTATTATTCTTAATTTTTTTTGTAAGTTTTCAAAGTGTGTTTATACATATTAATTTTTTTTTTGTTTAT